TTAAATGCATTATGCATGTGGGCGTCAGGGATGCTTAAATATATAAAAAGGTAAAGAATAAAATGGCTAATTTCATGGAAATGGCACTCCAGGGTGCCGTGTGTTTAAATTTTCAAAGTTGTGTGGTCTCGTGAAATAGAACGAGAACGGCGTAAAAAGTAAATCGACTCTTGGCGTTTTCCAGCTTGAACAAATTGTATTAATTTCAAATTTTGAACGTTTTCAATCACAATTGTGACAACGGAAAAGTACAATCAATAGAGAGATATTTTGCGTTTAATTTGCCAGTTTCACTGAACGATTATCAATCTATACATTTCCATCACTAATTTGAATCATTTTTAAGGTTCAAAAACTTAAATTTTTAAAAATAAAATACACGTATTAACTGCGTTTACTTGAAAACATTTTTGTCGCACTTCTAGGTTCTCGAGGTTTAATTTCCTTCATTTTGGATGACATCCAACCTTGCTGCCCGTTCTCCTTTTCTTACAGTTTGAGATTGAGGTGCTTTGTGTACTTGTACCGCTGTGATTTCTCGGCCTAGCAAATTTTTATTTTTCCAGAAAATGCCAACAGTTGTAAAATATTAATGTCATAATTTAAGAAATGAGATTTTGGTCGGTGGATTAAATCATATTTTAACATACCATGGAGAAACCAGTACCACCTGACAAAAGGGAAAAAAAAAAGGAACTAAAGGCAATATAACTAAAGCAAATACGATCTACATAATACAATATACAAAAAGTACACATGAAAACAGAAACTAAATGGACCGTGTTCACATACATCTGGAAGGAAACGTACAAATAGCTAATTAGGAATTAAAACCGTTCTGAAGACCGCAAAATCCTACCCAGTTATGGCCCATCGTGCTTACCCTTAGCGAAAACATTATCGACCGACATCAAAACCCTGCTTTAGTCAATAAAATAATTGACTCGACTAGTTACAAAATGTAACCAACATTACAAATTGTGATTGGCAATCGATTGAAACCAACCACTACAGATATAAAAGAACTGGAATAACATTCTGAAATTAAATAAGCTAAATGCATCAATTACCCATGCAAAATTGTACATCTTGTAAGGGGTAAGCGCGAAAAAATTGGCCGAAAACGTGCCTCAACAAATAAAAAACCATTTAATCAGCTCACCCGTCTCTTTACTACCGAAATCTTAGCTGCATAAAATAATAACGATTCAAAACTTCTTTAGTGAATTCCCAGCTGATTAAATCTCTTACTATCACTGTGGGAGCCTGAAAAATCTATAAAACGACCAATAATACAAACGCCACTTCTTAAAACTGCCCAAAACCAGTGGATCAATCATAACCAGGGCGTTTTTAAGTTATCTGGCTAATACATACCTGATGAAGCCAAACTTGTCGAACAACCGCAAGATAAAATCACGACAACAAACTCCCTGCAGTGACGATAAAGGAAGTCCAAAAAAACTATCAAGACTGAAATCAACCTCAACAAACGGTTTGGATAAGACTTGATTACTGGTCGGATTCTCAGAGGGTTGACGAGAAAAGCAGTGATCCAGGACGAGGATCAGCAATGCAGTCTTCAGGCTTAAATATATAACAAAACATGGAAAATCGCTGAGGAGATCCTGATCGCTAAACTATGTAAACCGCCTCATGAGCTCAAATCTTAAAGGCTAATTTTTTCTACCGCTGGTATGTTTCTAAATCATGACCAAAGCATTCTGTAAAGTCTGGCTTGAAATGCTAATTTATACAATAAAAAACACAATTCCAGCCATCTAGTTAAAACTTATCGAATTTCACATTGCTAACAGATACTTCTGAATTAACAAAGAAGAGGCCTATTTGGAATTCAAACAAATCCATCTTGGAGCGCCACATGGTAGTGTATTAGGTCCTGCCCTATTTCTTCACTAGCAAGCTACAAGTAAACAAGGAAAATACGACAAAATAACAACACGACTCAAACGCGTCAAGCCACACGGTGTACTGCTGGTGCAATCATGTGGTGAAAGTGTGATTTAAGAACATACAAAAAATATGATTAATTTATTATAAAAAGATTATTAGAAAATATAACTTAGCAGCTGTGCTAATAGCTAGGTTGTAATATTAATCAAGTCTCTCCACCATTGAGGATTGGAGGAAAATAATTGGAAATTAAGATAAAGCATTGACAAAATTATCAGACATGATAAGAATGCGTTACGCGCCATGAAATGCGAATACGGAAACAACTACATCGGATAGACAGGTCAAAAAATAATAGACAGGTATAAATAATTTCATTTAGGAAATGACGGAAAATCAAACTCACCTCACAAACACATACATGCATGAAAATCATATTGTGCTCAAAGTACAAACAGGACGAGATAATTACCCTAGAGGACTTTGTAGTATACAAATATAACATATTTAACATTAAAAACTAATGAATATATAAATGACCAACAGCACATTGGTTGACTTTACTTTACAGAAATTACACAGACACAACGAAGATGGTGAAATGCCGAAAAGCATCGACAGACTAACCCAGAAGATAAGCAGATAGAAATGATTGATAACAGTCAAATTACAAATAATTCACTAGTTTTCGTGGTTGAAAAATGGCAAAAAGAAGGGAAAATTTAAAAAGTGGGGTTGAGATAGGAAATTAGTGCCTGAGTGGTTCGAAGTCACGATAGCTCAATTGGTAGAGTAACGGAGTATCAAGCCGAAGGTCGTGAGTTCGAATCCTGCTCGTGACACTGACTTTTTTTATCTCCACTAAAACCTTATTACAAATAATGTTTTGACCATTGAACGTCATGGTCCATAATCAAACAATGAGACATGGTAGATAATTTTAATAATTATAAAATAAGGTAAGGAATTTAAAAAAAAAAACACAAGAAATTACATGTTTGTGTTAATAATCAAATAGAAAATTTCACAAATGGTCAAAGCTTGTTCAAGAATCTTCAGAAAACTATTTAAGGGACAAGTTCTGTTGGAAGGATGTTTGTTCATCAGTTCATCTCAAACATTCCTACTTTCAAACTTCAGAATATATTTGACAATGGAACTGTCCAACAACAATGGCACTCGGAGAACATTCGGCCCGGTTAGTTATTCTCTTTGGCTCTAGTCAATGCAATTCGACAATGGCTGTCCAAGGAATGCGTTTGTTTTTACAATAGAATCAGGAGGATTTCCGACATAGTTATAAAACTAGAAAACGTTTTTCTAACCCATTTTAATTTCCCACGGGGGGTTTACTTTTTAAGGGATATGCTTCCGGAAAATTAATATCCCAGAGGGTCGTACAACATATTTCACGATTACGCCGTTCTACTAACCTCATCTAATGAGATTCTCAAAAACGTCACTTAATTCACCATCGATTCAATTACACCATTATTATCTCTAATACTGATAGCTCTCACATCTCTGTAAAAAAAAGTTGTAAATTATCGTTACGTAGAAGTCGGCAGAATGGGAAGTTGAGTTTGACAGATTTAATTTCCGAGGGCGAGAAAACGCAAAATGGAAAAGTGACCTTTCATCCCAGATCCCGGCAAACATTTACTTTGTGAAGAAAATTTATAAAATGCTTGCCTCTCTCCGGTTCCAAAGTGGTTTATGGTTTAATCTAACAGACCAGGGAGGTCTGTCCAATTACACAACCAGTATTTAAAAAATTTCTCAATTATGCTGAATTTTACGTGAAACAAAGAAGGGAAATGTCCGTTCACCGAGAATTGAGAAAACCTTAACTATAGTATTAGTAAACCGTGTGAGATCATGGTAATTTTGTTGATTTTTTTAATGACAAAAAAAACGTATTTTCATCTTAATTACCACTACTAAATTAATAAAATATGTTATACTATAGTAACTAGGAAATATGAAACATACATATTTTAATTGAAAAGCGTTTCAGACACGCGCGAAGTGATCATCATATCAGTCCTAACAAGGAGCTTATTCGATTATTCATCCATCTTAATCGTTAGACCACAAAATTAGAACAATTTGAAATACAACTGCGTGAAAATCGTGAAACAAACACATAGCTGAGTATAATATTGCACTCACGTGTACGTTTTGGTTCGGTAGGCCAACTCGGTCAACATCAAGCACTCTGTTTGTGGATGCCGTGCCAGTGTGTTGACTCAGTCGTGTTAGGGGGGATTAGCAGCATTGTTCAAACTAGTTTAATTAGTTCGCGGCGCGCGGAAAGCCTTACGAAACTTGCTGTTTGTTATATATTTGACTTCCTCTACGCGTAATAATTACAATATTGCTGGTCTAATTAATATAAACGGCCGTTATACAAAAGTAAATGCAAAAAAAAGTTGGAAAATGTGTTTAATAAATAATCAATTTGCTACCATTCACTGACAAATTGATTGAAAAGTCTATAAATAGGACTTTCCTAATTACCAACGGTTGCAATTGTTTTTTGAAAAGTAAAATAATTAAAAAGTGAGGAAGAAAAAACTATGATAAAGATATTGAATGTTTAAGAGAGGGAAACACAAGTTTTGGTGAAAGAGTGATAGAACAAAATTGATCAATAATAAGACAGAGAGAACAAAATTGGGAGCAAAGGATTAATGAGAGAAAATAATCAGAGAGAGAAGAAAGGAAGGGAAAAAGAGAAAGATCAGAGAGAGAGAGAAAGTGAAAGAAAGAAAGAGAGAGAAAGAGAGAGGGAGAGAGAGAGAGAGAGAGAACAATACAGAGTAGTAATAATTGAAAGAGAAATAAAGAGGCAGCACAGATGTAATAAGAGCAAGTGATCGAAGTCAAAAAAGAAAGAAAGAGAAAGAAGGGTTAGAAGATTCAGAAGATCAGTGTGATAGAGAATGAAGGAGAGATCGTGAGAGAGTGAGAGAGAGAGACCAATTTTTAGGGGGGTTAAGTAGTTAAAGAGTAATTAAATCGTTTTATATTCTATTGATTGATATTGATTCGGTCAAGGACAATTATGAGGGACAGTAATTTGAAAAGAGGGGATCATTTCTCTCGCCAGTCGTCATCAGGTAAATCTTCCCCAAGCGGTCAGGTATAATCCCGTCGGTCAGTCAAATTATTCGAAAACCCTTTTCTGCTTAAACATGGATCGCTGGGTCGGAAAAGTCGCGGTTGTGACTGGAGTCAGCTCTGGCATCGGAGAATGCACTGCGAGGCTCTTGGTTAAGAAAGGAATGAAAGTCGCCGGCCTGGCCAGAAGATTCGACAGGGTTAAGGTCCGTTGTCATTCATAGATCTTATCCATTCTAAAAACGTTGGCTTCTTCATTATAAAATATAACTATTCCATGTTTTATGTTGGTCTTGAATTCTTAAATGATTAATTTTTTATTACTATTATTTTGTTTAATAGTTTTTTAGCGTTGTTATTTTATTACATATATATTTTAATTAGATGTTTGCACAACATATTCTTGTTTTTAAAACTGCACTTCATGAAAATTCCAACAATTTCAAGAAGTGTACCTTAATTTTATTACAAATGATTAACTAATACGTATATTTTGTGCATTTCAAATTGGCGCTGAAAGAACATCTTGTTTTTCAAATTACAACAGCCTGGGGAAAAATTTGACACCGCGGTGTTTTGTAAAATAACAGAAGCCGTTCTGGACAGTGGTTCGACAAAGAAGAATCAGCACTACATTTTTCCAAAGCCCCCAAACCAGAATAGCGGAAACCATTATTTATAGTATTAATAAACCATGTGAAAAGATGGTAATTTAGTTGATTTGAATGTTATTTTTATTGGCGAACAAACGCACTTTCACGTTAATTACCACGAGCAAATTAATAAAATATATTATACTATGGTAACTAGGAAATATGAAACATACATATTTTAATTTAAAAGCGTTTCAGTCACTTGCGAAGGGATCATCATATCTGCCCTTACAACGAGCTCATACGATAATGTATGAATTTTAGCCGTTAGACCACACAATTAGAACAGTTTGAAATACACTTGGGTGAAAAACGTGAAACAAACACACAGCGGAGCAAAATATTTCACTGAGAGAGAGAGAGAGAGAGAGAGTGAGAGAGAGAGAGAGAGGGAGAGAGAGAGGGAGAGAGAGAGGGAGAGAGAGAGGGAGAGGGAGACAGAGAGAACAATAAGTAATAGTAATAATTGAGAGAGAAAGAAAGAGGCAGCACAGGAATAGTAAGAGCAAGTGATAGGAGTCACAAAAGAAAGAAAGAGAAAGAAGGGTTAGAAGATTCAGAAGATGAGTGTGATAGAGAATGAGGGAGAGATCGTGAGGGAGGGAGGGAGAGAGAGAGAGACCGATGTTTAGGGGGTTATACGAGGGAGTTACAGAATAATTATATGGTTTTATTTTCTATTGATTGATATTGATTCAGTCAAGGATGTTTCTGAGGGACAGTAATTTGAAAAGAGGGGGATCATTTCTCTTGCCGGTCATCATCAGCTAAATCTTCGCCAAGCCGTCAGGTATAATCCTGTTGGTCAGCCAAGTAAAACCCTTTTCTGCTTAAACATGGATCGCTGGGTCGGAAAAATCGCGGTTGTGACTGGAGTCAGCTCTGGCATCGGAGAATACACTGCGAGGCTCTTGGTTAAGAAAGGAATGAAAGTCGCCGGCCTGGCCAGGAGATTCGACAGGGTTAAGGTCAGTTGTCATTCATAGAAACCTTTCCTTTCTGAAAACATACGCTTCTTCATTATAAAACAGACTATTCCGTGTTTTATGAACGTGAGTTAATTGATTAATTTTTATTACTATTATTTTGTTTAATAGTAGTTTAATAGTTTTTTAGCGTTATTATTTTTATTACATGTATACTTTTATTAGATGTTATAACAACAAAATCTTGTTTTTGTTGAAAAAAATCTTATTTTTCAAATTATATCAACCTAGGGAAAAATTTGATACCACAGTTTTTTTTAAATAACAGAAGACGTTCTGGACAGTGGTTCGACAAAGGAGAAGCAGTATTTTCCAGTCCCCAACTACTCAAAAAAAGGTGATGATGTCTCTTTGGTGGGCTTCATTCAATTTGCTACAGCTCCTTAAATTCTAGCGAACCAATTATTGCCAAAAAGTATTGCTTTCAAATTGGAACAGTGCTTCAGAAACTGGCATAATTCAGGACTTCTTGGGTAAGTCGGAAAAGGCCGATTCTGTTACACGACAACCTATGTCCAATGTCTCATAATGACAATACGAAAATTCTTGGATCTTGGTTATGATTTTGATGAGATTCTGCCTCACCCTCACTATTTTCCAGACCTCTCGCCTTCCGTTGATGTATCACTAAAATGCCAATCAAGAACTAATAATTAAAATTACTTTAATTTAATTTACATCGTAAAAAAGGTTTTCTAATAATTTCTTATAATGCTAATTGGCGGTTTGTTTAGTGGAGATGTTCTAGTATGAAATAATACACAAGAATTGAAGAAAATCAACCAACAATTTTAATGTTCTCACAGACTGTTCCGTAAGTTTTATACTCTCCAAGTGAGAGAAGGGAACGTTCTGATCCTCCTTCACAAACTTAGTTAAGCTGTTTAGCATACATTTACTGGTAGAACATGTTAGACAAGTTGGAAGCGGAAATATCGTTCATGTTATCATACATTACGTGTATTCGATCGGTCAATATTGGCCCGTTGTTGCCACTATTTCGTCGGTTCAGAAGGTTCTTTTCGAACATACAATCTTCAAGTCGCATTGTCTAGTTGATTTACAACTTAAGAACAAAGGTTTTGAACTTAGAACAATATATTTAAGAAGCAAAATAAATCTAGGAAAATTTAGTAGCACAGGTAACTAAATAACTAGAACAGTTCTCACAATACAGTTAACAGTTAACACAATGCAGTCAAAACAATGTTTTATAATCGAATCATTGGCAATGTTCAGAAAGCAACATTGCACATAAACCATGTTAATTTTGTAAAACATTTACCAGCATTACATAAAATCTCAACAAGTCTTTATTGTTTTCAAGTCAAGTAAAATCCCGCATTTGTTTTTCTATATTTAATTTTGAGTATTTTAATTAGTTTAAATTGAAATAATAAGCTTGCAGAAAGTAACGGATATTTTACGTAGCCATAATAATAAATGATTCTGAATGACAAGTTAAAAAAATAATCTGTATTAATTACATGATTTTTATACTGCTTGTGAGAAATTCAGTAGGAGTAAAAGTACAAAAGTTTAAAAAAGTCTCTCTATTCAAATATACCCAGTTTTAATCAAAAGTTTGTAATAAAAATGAAATATAATGGAAAATAATAATTGTGTAACTTGAAAACGAAAATACAGTTAAGAAATTGTTGAGTTATGAAAATAATTGCATACAATTTAAGTAGTGAGGATTTCAAAATATTATGCACTACTGAGCAAATTGGATGTAATTACTATTTGTTTAATAAGAAACACTTCAAATGTGCGTAAAGCGACATGGATTGTAATTGATGTATACAAGGTCAACTCTGGAAACTTGCAAATACATTCATGTGCAGAATGGAGCATATATTTAATCGTAGGAAAACTCGCACTAACTTTTAAGGTAGTTGGAGAGTCGGTGGACTTGCCAAAGTTTAAATTTATTTAAAGGGGACTAAACAATGATTTTTTTACTAATCACAGTAAAAAAGTTAATAAAAAATTCAATTTGTACCAAAGTCTTAAATTTAAAATCCCAAATTTAAAAAGTTGATTTTGATTAATCCAGTCTTACCCCCGAGAGGAGGATGGTTGGGAAAATCGACTCATACACTGAAAACCTCAATTTTCAATCTCCCGATACATTAAAGGAAAGAGCAGAGCTATGCTTAATTTAAAAAAAAGAATGTAGTGGACTTCACGAAGCAGGAAATTTGCTATAAAACAGCCCTCCTCCACCTTTACGAAATACCGTAGGCCAATGAGACGTAACTTTTATAACTTGCATAACTTTTATATATATAACATTACTTTTTTAAAGAAAATATTACATATTAAACATTGAAACATTAATCAAGACCCTGTCCTTTGAGGATTGGGAGGAAAATTATTATCCATGTAATAAGTCGGCACTCGGACACCTCTTCAACATAACCTTTTTCAAATGTCGTGTAATCCGAAGGTCGTGGGATCGAATCCCGCTCGTGACACCTATTTTTTCACCTCAACCAAGACCTTAGATAAAAAGAAACATTAATTGAAATAATTAATATGGTCACTTATGATTGCTAAACATATAGGTATTTATTTATTATATTTTTTCACACTAGCTGCATTTTTGTAAGTAAATGTAAAAGATTAACTACAAATGCAAAGTTAAAATGTTTCATAGTTAAAACGTAGAGAACTGTGTTACTGATTAAATAAGTTTTTTGTATCAAAACTTTTAAGTTAATATCAAGAATCAATCTTCCTTTTTGCTTTTACAAGGCTTTTATGTTAGATCTTTTTGACATTTTGACCTTTTATTGAACTTGTACGGATTTAAATGAAATGTAATCATTGTTTTCTTTATATTTCAGTAAGGACTGTGTATTTTTACAGAAACTCGAGGATAGTTTGAACGGCAGTAAAGGAGAACTGAAAGCTTTCGAGTGTGACGTTTCTGATGCGAAGCAGGTGCACAGCGTTTTTGAATGGATCGAAGAGAACTGGGGACCGGTCGGCGTGCTCGTTAACAACGCTGCTGTTTTTAAATCCGATTTACTCACGAGTAAGTTACAATACTTCATTTAACGATGAAGACCTTAGGCTAAATACGCCGCTGCTCTACCACCAGAGCTATCGTGACTTCGATCCACTCGGCAGCGGCGTATTTAACCGAAGGTCGTGGATTCGAATCGCGCTCGTGGCACTGGCTTTTTCATTTCAACCTTACATAAAAGGATTAATTAATTGAAAGAAGTAATTTGGTCAATAGACCCCTAAATATAATAGATATAAAAAAAACATTTGTTTTTCTAGATTTGACGTCAACGGATAACCTTAAGCAGATGTTTGACGTTAACGTTATTGGCGTGTTCAGTTGTACCAGAGAAGCATTAATATCTATGAAAAAATACAGCAATGAAGGATGCATCATTAACATTAGCAGGTAAATAAATTTAATATTTCAATTCAAAAGAAAATAATTAATTGTTAACTTTTCAGTGTTTCTGGTCATCACATTCTTTATTACCCGTACATCGGGGGATACACGGCGACGAAACATGCTATAACCTGTATGACGGAATATCTTAGATTTGAACTCGGTTTGGAGACGAAAATAATCAGAATCACGGTACGTTAAACTTTCAGTTTAAGTATTTCTTAACTTTTTAAATTTTGGGCTGAATGTATATGTTAATATAGGTTATTTACGGACCAAAAAAAATCAATTTGTCATATTTTTCTTCTGTTTTCTAAACTTGCTAACCTCTCGTAGTTAACGTAGGGATAGTTAGGGTTTCTGTTAACAATAAATCCAATTGAATTATGAGATTTAAAAATTGAAATAGACAATATTAAAATAAATGTATATCCCAAATAAAAATGACGGGCGGAATTGTTGCACTGCCAAGAAGTTATACATTTTAAAATGGCCACCTCGTCAATAAAAAGCTATTCGTATGGACCCGCATTATGTAGAATACAGTTTTCTATCAGGAAGTTGCACTAAGCGTAATACTCGTAAAAAGTACAATCTGGAAACACCACGAACACACACACACACACACACACACACACACACAAAATTTAAAAAAGCATGTTGAGTAGGTGTACAGTTATAAGTTGACAATAATGATATGAGATAACAATGACGTTATTCAATATGCCAAAGTAAAATTTCTTAATATTCCATTTTATCAAGACTACAAAAAGTTGATTTACAATAAAGAAAAGCTCTTTATCACAATAATTAATTAAGTTCCTTGTTAAACATCTTCTGAATATTAACTAAAGACAATTAATTGACACTACAAAATAGTTCACTTTTGTCGATTGCTTATGATAAATGTTATGGATTATTGGATACTATTAAATCAACTACACTTGTATATTTTCTTTTTTAATTTATTTGAACCAACCCTTTCCCTCACTGTCCTAACGGTCTTCTAACGGTCATATCCGTTTTTCCATCTTCCCTTGAAAACAGTCTTACCAATCTTAAATTTTCCCCTTTAAGAGATCATTTATATTTTATACATCTTAGATATTATTATATCATAGATATAACATAGACCTAGATATACTAACTTGCAAATAATAAAAAATGATTGAAAATCACTAATCACATAAAAACAAACTTTTGAGATTTTAAAAATGTCAAATCGGGGTGGGAGAAACATCGGGAGTTATTTGCATTGTCATGTCTCAAGGAGAAGAAAGAACGCAGGCAAATGAAAGGAAAAAAATCAGTTACTTCATTGTCTATAATTCAAAATGTAATTACGACAAACAAACGTAACGTTAATAATTTAATAAAATTTATGTATATTTCATAATATTGTAAAAGATGAAAATAATAAAAATCTATATCCGCATATGTGGCTAGCTGCTACAATGATGAAAGCGATAATACTTTTGCTTTGTTTTGATGAAATTCAAATTTGTTTTCAGAGCATAAGCCCTGGACTGGTTGAGACGGAAATGCTGGCTCAATTTTCCGGTGAGGTAGTACCTGAAAACATACCATGCCTCAAAGGAGAGGATATTGCCAACTGTATCTTGTTTGTCCTCGAGTGTCCTGGCAATGTCAACGTAAGTTCCAACAGTTTTTTAAAAATATTTTGATAGTCAAAATAATGCATGAATTAGTTATCCAGTCGTTTGTTACATATAATAGGCTAAATTATAATCAATATGAAGAATATTTTGGGTTTGGGTCATACATCTTTCATAGAAGTTGAAAAAATAGAGGTCCTGGCGATCTCAGGCAACCCCAATCAAAAAAGTGCAAAAAAGTTTTCAAACCTTAAAGGTCGATTAACATTACAAGACTGTCCTTTTTATCTTGTGTAAAATCTTCTCAAAAATCCGAAAGTTATTCAAGCATGCTTTTATGATGGGAAACCAGCACGCTTATAATATTTGATACACAAATAACGTTTCTAATGCACAAAATTGACAATTTCACCATATTTGCAAAAGAAATGGAGAGAATGATTAAATATATTTCTTTGCAGATAACTGAACTCACTGTTCAAGCAACTGGAGAGACCTTGGCAGAAAATAAAGAATAGGGATTGACATTCCTAAGGTAGTAAAGTATATTGTGAGACAACGTTTATTATACTTTGATATTCATATTATCATCGATACTCTGTACACTGTTTTGTAGTTCGTTTGAAATATACACTTAAAGAGAAATTAAAATAATAATGCAAAATATAATAATAATAAAATATAACATCATAATTCGTATAATAACATATGGTTTAGCAAACCTTAAAATCATTGATGGTTATTTTTTGTTAATTAAAATATAATCCGTACTAAATTTGTATGTTTGTTAGTTTGAAAAAGTTGTAAACATATCTGAAGAGAACGTTTATTATATCAAAAATTATAGAATATATACTAAAAGCTATATGTTGCGTTTTATTAATTTGTGACATGATGCCTTATCCTTTTTTAAAAGTTTGACTATTTTCTTCAATACCTAAAGCAAAGAAAAAATATGTCTTTTCTTAGTGCATCGCTCGTTGTCATGATTAGAATATGTACACGCCATAAACGAATAGTCGAGAAATAGAAAACGATAGCTAGCAGTTAGAAGATAGTCTCAGTATGGTGATGAGAGAAAGATATATAAATGTTCAGAGAATAAGCTGAACTGGAGCAATCGAGAGAGAGAGAGAGAGAGAGAGAGAGAGAGAGAGAGAGAGAGAGAGAGNAGAAACCTTTTCTGCTTAAACATGGATCGCTGGGTCGGAAAAGTCGCGGTTGTGACTGGAGTCAGCTCTGGCATCGGAGAATGCACTGCGAGGCTCTTGGTTAAGAAAGGAATGAAAGTCGCCGGCCTTGCCAGGAGATTCGACAGGGTTAAGGTCAGTTGTCATTCATAGATTTTATCCATTCTAAAAACATAGGGTTCTCATTGTAACATATAAGTATTCCATGTTTTATGTTGGTTGTGAATTCTTAAATGATTAATTTTTTATAACCATTATTTTGTATAATAGTATTTTAGCGTTATTATTTTTATAACATGTATATTTTAATAGATGTTATATAATCGCGTTTGAAAATCACTGTCATAAAAACTCTTTCTAAAAACTTCAACAAATAAACCTTCATCTTATTATATTCTTCTTTGATTTATGATAATGTTCATTTGTAAATTTCATTTTCAAGTTGTGCGAGCCATTTGATGCTGATAACATATTAATATAAATTTTCTACGTAAACAAGAAATAATTAAAAAGCCACTTTATACTGTTTTGACGAAAAAATGAGTCAGGAGAATATCATGAATTTTAACAAAAACTTTAACAAATGTGTATGTTTTGTACATTTTAAATTGGCGCTTAAGGAACATATTGTTTTTCAATATCAGCCTGCGAAAAATTTTGATAGTTAGTTTTTTGTAAAACTTTGTCTTGTGGAAAAAAGATCATCTAAAAAATACAAGGGTGTTCTTTACTTTTATTCTAATCTAATTTCGATCATATTCTGTAAATTTTGTTAAATAAGGTTTTGCACAATGAGTAAGTATTTTCCAAGCGAGATGAGATCATAGCTGTTAGTTCATTAGATTTCGTGGTCCGATTGACCGAATAACATTTTTCAATTAATTAATCTTTATATAAGGCATTGGTTGTGGAAAAAAAAAATAGGCCGCTGCTCTACCACTTAAGCTATCGTGACTTCCTCTCGGACACTAACAACACTAACTAGCTGAAAAATGGCAAAAGGGAGGTAAAATTCAAAAGGTGGGGTTCAGATGGGAAGTTAGTGTCCGAGTGGATCGCACCATAGCTCAAGTGGTGGAGTAGCGGCGTATCTAGCCGAAGGTCGTGGGTTCTAATCCCGCTCGTGACACTAACTTTCTTTATCCCAACCAATGCCTTATATAAAGATTAATTAATTGCAAAATGGTTGTTAAGATTGATCATAGGGACATGGGTTATGGGACTCCCCCCCCAAAAAAAAAATTATCCTGTATTTCTATAATTAGTTGCATGAAAAAACTTTGGTTTATATAAATTTAGATTTAGTTGGGGTTTATGGTTTTTCGAATGTCGTTGCATTATGAGAAAAATCGTATTAAAATATTTGTCATACGTCTGTTTAAATTTAAAAAAAAAATTAAATTAAACTTATGTGATTTTTGTTGCAAAATATTTTTCTGCAACGATCTAACATCAGAACGTTTTTATGTAAAAAAATATGATATACATCTGAACGTTGTTTGAAAGAGGAATATTTTAACTGACGATTTTTGGAATACATTAAGTTACGTGTGTTGATTAATTGAAAGGCTTTTTAAAAATTCTTATTAGTTACAAACACAACTTAAAATTTGAGTTGGAACATTTCCTATTCACGGATAAGAATAATTAATTCACTACTTTCGTGGTCCGCTTGACAGAAACAGAAAGGGAAAAAGAGTGAGGGAAAGTAAGGAAGTGAGAAAGAAAACAAAAAATATAAGTAGTGAGAGAGAGAGAGAGAGAGAGAGAGAGAGAGAGGAGAGAGAGAGAGAGAGAGNAGAGAGGGAGAGAGAGAGAGAGAGAGAGAGTGGAGTGAGTGAAAGGAAAAAGTAGCGAAGGAAGTGAGAAAGAAAACAAATCAGATAAATAATGACAGAGGAGAGCGATATTCTTTCTTATTCGATATTTTTAAAAATGTGTATTCTACGTTTTATTATTTTCAACTTTTCAATTACAAATCTTGTATTGGAGATTTCCGCCTTTTGCTGTGTCCATTTGCGATTGAATTTCCAAAGTTGCAATTAAATTTCGTGGTAGTATTCTAACAATGAAATATAGTGTTCAGCTCTCGACTGTCTCAGTTCAATTTAATGCTCTGCCGGTCCAGAATAGCAACGTTTCCCTCCTGTCTTTAATCATTTATCCCTTGTGCAAATAGATGTAACATTTATCTAACCGAAATTATCATTACTACGCTGATTATTATTTACTGACTCTTAATGTTACTTATAAAAAATATATATAAAATAATTTTAATTTTCTGCACGACGGTCGTGCCTCAAGGCCAGCATAGATGAATCTTGTGAACTTAATCAGAAGCGTACATTACTTTGATAAATATAAACAAAATGCTGGTTTTATTTTTCGCGTTCTTTGATAGCATTAAGTTAGCAGGGTTGTTGTATTAATTATCAGATTTATTTTGTTAAAATATGTTAAACAAAAACAGTTTTAAAGACAACATGATTACATATTGAATATTGAAAGTCCCCTTCCTTTGAGGATTGAGAGACAAATATATTATAAGATGGTTATCAATATTATACGATAATTTATTTATTATATTTTTCCAACACCAGCTGTATTGTGTAAGTAAACGAAAAATACTAACTATAAATGCAAAATGGCTTCAGAATTTACAAAAAAAGTAAATTATTCAACTAAATTTGTACTTAATTTACTAGTGGTCCGCTTGACCAAATAATATCTTTCAATTAATCTGTATGTGAGGGATTGGTTGAGATCGAAAATTCAATAGGTGAGGTTGAGATGGGAAGTTAGTGTCCGAGTGGATCGAGGTCACGATAGCTCAAGTGGTAGAGCAGCGGCGTATTTAGCCGAAGGTCGTGGGTTCGAATCCCGCTTGTGACACTGACTTTTTTATCTCAACGATTACGTTAAATACATATTGATTAATTAAATTTGTACTATTAAAGCATTTCAACTTTATCAGTCAAAATATAAAGAACTGTGTTACTCAAAAAACTTTTTTCTCCCAAAATTTTTAAGTTAATAACAAAAACTAGTCTTCCTTTTTATTGGTACAAGATTTTATATTAGAGTTTTTTGACCTTTTTTTGGACTTGTATTTCACATAAAGACTGTTAACTTTTACAGAAACTCGAGGATAGTTTGAAAGGCAGTAAAGGTGAACTGAAAGCTTTCCAGTGTGATGTTTCCGATGAGAAACAGGTGCACAGTGTTTTTGGATGGATCGAAGAGAACTGGGGACCGGTCGGCGTGCTTGTTAACAACGCCGCTGCCCTTAAAATCGAATTACTCACAAGTAAGCTACCGTATTTTTTTTATGTTAAAGGTAGCCTTTAACATTTGTTTTTCTAGATTTGACGTCAACGGATAACCTTAAGCAGATGTTTGACATTAACGTTATTGGCGTGTTCAGTTGTACCAGAGAAGCTTTAACATCTATGAAAAAACACAATAATGAAGGCTGCATCATTAACATTAACAGGTAAATAAATTTAATATTTTTATTTAAAATAAAATAACGTATTGTTAACTTTTTAGTGTTGCTGGTCATCACTTTCTTCATTACCCGAAAATCGGGGGATACGCAGGGACAAAACATGCTCTAACCTCTATGACGGAACATCTTAGGTACGAAATCGGTTTGGAGACGACAAAAATCAGAATCACGGTACGATAATTTTCCAATTTAAATATTTCTTAACTGTTTAAATGTTGGAATAAATACACAACTGGTTAATATTAAGAGACATTTAGTTGTCATTGGTGGACTGTGCTTAAACTATAAAATTAATTTTACTTTTTAATCGTAATTACGTAAAAAAATGTTGTCCCTCAGGACAGCTTGGACATTAAGCAAATAACAAATCAGTTCTTTTTTTCTTAGTAGTTTGTGCTATGATTGCAAAGTTTTAAAGTACAGTTTTGTATACAGCAACATACAAGTCTTTAATATTAAATCAGCAATGGAGGTGAATGTTTTAATGACAATGTACAATGATTAGCTTACTATTTATTAAATACATATAAACCGATTAAACCGACCTAAATGAGAAATAAAATTTGTATAATTGAAAATGATTTTTTACAATTGATATGAATAAATAGAATACATGGCAAATAGGACTAAAATTATCCATTGTTCAAAGTGTGAATTTCGATTGTATTCGAAAAATTTCACTTTTCATCAGTACGTCGTAGCTCTAAAAATGTAATGTAATAATGTGTTTGATTTAAAAAAAAAAAAAAAAAAAAAAAAAAAAAACATTGAAAACCTTTTGAGTTAAGCAAACAAATACCAAATACCACGTAAAACCTGTCAAGAATCGACATTCATTGTGATTCGTTGTGACATTGTGTGCATTCTTCGCGAACTGGATATAGTTAATTTAATGAAGATACTCTTTATGGGACAAATTAATCATAATAAAAAACAAAAAATTTCTAAAAATTAAAATCGAAGTCAAGTCGAAAATACGGACATTTTGAACATTGAGTTTTTAGAAAGATTTTTCTTTATGAAGGGAGACAAGATGGTTCTTGGGAAAAAATCAAAGGTTACTAACTCCCCTCACGACATATGGTCCATGTGAATTGTACATGTAACTCATTATATAATGTAAATAATGATTATTCGGAGATGGTAAGATGCGGTCTGGTGTGACGTAGGTTTTAGAAAAACCTTTTCTTTATCGTGCCAACGTTTCGATCTTTATTGTGATCATATTCAGGGCTCAAAGTGTTAATTTTCCGTGTAGATGTGTCATTCTTATCTGCCGTGTTGAGAGTGCCCACAACGTGTGGGCGGAAAACAAACACTTTGAGCCCTGAAGATGATCTCAATAAAGATCGAAACGTTGACAAGATAAAGAAAATTTTTTCTAAAACCTACCTCACACCAGACCGCATCTCACGATCTCCGAATAATAATCATTAACTAACGGTCACTAAACACCATATATTTCTACACGATGTAAATAATGTTACAGATGGTAATAAATATATTAAAAAAAGTTTTTCGAAACTTGTTTTTCCTTATGTTCAATTTTGCACCTTGCAAGCCTTTTTCGTTGACTTTGTATAAATTTCATTATTTTTAATAGAAGTTTCAAAATCTTAAAGACGATGTTTTAACCGTTCTTAAAGGATAAATTAAAATTTTGCAATTAAACGTTGTTTAATTAAAAATTAAACAACTGACTATCGTGAAATTACATACATGTGCTTATAGTTCATTTGTAAGGGCCGCTTTTCTGTAAGCGCCATCTGTCCTATTTACGGAACCGAGAAAATCTTAAACTTTTGACAATTACTTCGAAAACTCGTAAAAGTTTATATTCTAAGTGATTTTATATTTTGAAGAATTAGAAGGAATAATATGTTACATGTTACATCTATAATTCATCATGAAATTTCGCAGTACATAATGAATCTATAAGATCATTAAGTAAAGTATTATTAAATCCATTATATTTCGTAGTACGATTGACCAAATAACTTCTTTCAATTAACTAATCCTTATGCAAGGTATTGGTTGAACTAAAAAGCTAGTGCCACGAGCGGGATTCGAACCCATGACCTTCGGCTAAATATGCCGCTGCTCTCCCACTTGAAGTCGTGATAGCTCAAGTGTTAGAGCAGCGGCATATTTAGCCGAAGGTCGTGGGTTCGAATCCCACTCGTGACACTAACTTTTTCATTTCAACCGTAAAGAGGATCTATTTAGGTTTTTCCATTAATTAATACTTTTATAAATTATTCCAATTTAACCTAATAAAGTTGGAGCCATTTTAAGGTGCTACAACTTTCAACTTCATTCGTTTACAAATAAATGTTCTTTACTACTCTGGAAATATTTTGTCAACTTTATGAACGCTACCGACAAATTCTCTAGAGCTCTCTTAGGCTAATGGGGTACTGGATAAACCTAACTAATCTTTATGAAAGGTATTGGTTGTAGTAAAAAAGCTAGTGTCACGAGCGAGATTCGAACCCACGACCTTCGGCTAAATATGCCGCTGCTCTACCACTTGAAGTCGTGATAGCTCAAGTGTTAGAGCAGCGGCATATTTAGCCAAAGGTCATGGGTTCGAATCCCGCTCGTGACGCTGACTTTTTATCTTAACCCAATACCTTACTTTACCTTAATCTTTAGATTAATTAATTGAAAAGTCAATCGGACCACGAAATCTAATGAATCTATAAGGTTACTAATAATAACATTTACGCACAATAATATTTTACAAAATGAAAATAATAAAAATCTATTTCTTCATGTGTGACTTTAGTTGGTACAATACAAAATGACATAAGCAGTAATACTTTAATTTTGCTTTGTTGGAATTCAAATATATTTTATAACTCATATGCAATATTTTTAGAGCATAAGTCCTGGACTGGTTAAGACGGAAATGTCGGCTCAATTTGGCGGTGACATACCTGAAAACATACCAAGCCTCAAAGGAGAGGATATTGCCAACTGTGTTTCGTTCGTCCTTGAGTGTCCTGGCAATGTCAACGTAAGTTCCAACAGTTTTTTTTTATATTTTGATAATAAAAAGACAATGCATGGATTAGCTATCCTTTCGATTGTTACATATAATAAGCTAACTTATAATCAATATCAAGCAATAAATTTCGCGTTTGGGTCATTCATCTTCAATAAAATAGAGGTCCTGTCGAACTCAGGCAACCCCAGTCTCAGTCCTAACGTTATTTTCGGGAGAAATGCCAATAAGTTTTCAACCCTTAGATGCCGATTAACACTACAAGACTGTCCTTTTTATCTAGTACAAAATCTTTTTCAACAAAGATATTAACACCAGTTCTAAAATTTTTACATTTACCTTTTAACATGGCCAAAAATCCGAAAGTTATTCAAGCATGCTTTTATCACGAGTAACCAGCATGCTTATAATATTTGATACGACTACAGATACCGTTTCTAATGCACAAAATTGATAATTTCACCTGCAGATAACTGAACTCACTGTTCAAGCAACTGGAGAGACCTTGGCAGAAAATAAAGAATAGGGATTGACATTTCTAAGGTAGTAAAGTATATTGTGAGACATGGTTTATTATACTTTGATATTTATATTATCATCTTCATTGTGTACACTGATTTATTTACCTTTTGTACATTTACCTTTTAACATGGTCGAAAAGCCAATAAGTTATCCAAGCATGCTTTTATAACGAGTAACCAGCTCGCTCATACTATTTGATATGGCTATAAATATTGTTTCTAATGAACAAAATTAGTAATTTGAACGTAGTAGTAGAGAGAATAATTGAATATGGTTCTTTGCAGATAACCGAATTGACAGTTCAAGGAACTGGAGAGACGTTGGTAATCAAGAACGATTAAGGATGAATTTTTTACTTAAGAAGTAAAGTTTATTATGAGACAATTGTTATTATACTTCGACATATATATTATTTGCTATATTGTGCATACTGATTTTTTGATCGTGTGAAAAATACACTTTTCAGAAACTGAAATAGTAATACGTAGTACATATGGCATAATAATAATTACAGATGTAATAATATGCTGGTTTATAAAATCTTTAAACCATTTGTTTTCATTTTCTGTTCATTAATACAGTACAGTATTAAATTTGTATTTTGTTATTTCTAAATAACATGTAAACATATTGTAGTATAACGTTTATTATATAAATTATATAATATATTTGAACAGAATTACATTACGTTTTATTAACCTTAATATAAATTTATGATACCTTATCCTTTTTTAAAGAGCTTGAGAGTTTTCTTCAGTACCTGAAACAAAACCAAAATAATTAACATTATTATCTTAATATAATTAGTAAATAATTAACTTTTTAGTGCATCTTGCATTGCTATTATTTCAATATGTAAAAGCCGTTAAGACTGATAAATGAAAAGAAACATGACTTCGTTTTTATTTATTTATTTGTTTTTAAATTTCGACTCACTTGAAATTTTTATCTTTTTGGGAAAATATCTGGTAAAAGAATCAAATCAGTGGACAGAAGTGGTTAGACTGTTGAACAAAATATCGTTTTTTAGAACGTGTGTGTTATGATAATATTTTTTCATTCTTTAGTTAACGTTTCATTTTATTTATGGAATAAAAAGTAAGGAAATTTTCGTGTGATTTGTGTTTAATGTGATTCTGTGTAACATACATTTTGATATGATAAGCTTCTGGATTTTTTCAGTGATTGTATAGAACAAAAACGTTAATTATTTTGTTTAATATATTTATTGTTATTTGTTTAATATATTTACTTTTAAAAATGTAACGAACTTGCAGTATTAAAACAGTGTCAATACGAAAAACAAAAACAAAAATGGGAGAAGAACTCACCCTGGTGGTGAGCCTTCAAAATAATGAATAAATAATGACTGTATTTACTACAATATACCACAACTAAAGTGGTTGAATTGTAGAAACAAAAATCTGGAAATCTGCAAAAAGAAAACGTATCATTTGGCACTAGAGTGCGAAGTATCTTCTTGTGGTGACCATTCTTGATTAATCTAGTAGACCGTAATGGCTCTGACTCGATCCTGTCTGGATTCGAGTAAGTCGTCAGTCCAAGTGAAATATTGTAATAAGCAAAATATATAAAGTTGGTCCTGCGTTGAATTTATTTTAATTTTACTCTTATTGAACTGCAAATGCATTTGAAGGTTTCTGACTGCGGTTACATGATTTTTATAAAAGAAATACTGTAATGTCAGAAATTTTAACTACATTCCTAAAAACGTTGAGAATGTCAGTAGTTTATGTTGCATAAAGTATACGTTTTTAGAAAAGGTAGTTCCTACTCACAGTAAGTTGTTTTCCAACGATCTGGATTTCGAGCCCTTAGCTCATCATCAGGTTGAAGGATTTCTACAACCACGTTTCTCGACATGAATTGCAAAAGTGAACCCGCGATACCCCCGCCAACGCGATGTTCCAATGAAAAGCTGGTTTTTTAATGGCGTTCAATTTGAACGTGCGAAAAGCGGGAATTATAACACAAGTAAATATTATAATGGTAAATACTGTAAGAATTTAATTATAAATTAATGGTTAAAGATAAAAGAAAAAAATTAGAATAATATCTTAATATTATTCAATTATTATCAAAACAATAACAATTTTTTTTATCACAAAATCATTTCTCATACGATTTGCGATTGCATGGCCTTAACAGGAAAACAGTTCCTACATAATCTAGTGTGTCATAAACAAGGCGTACAATTTCTACTATTTTGCTTCTGGTGCAGGAGGAAGCCAAGATAAAAAAAATATCCTTCACTTAGGAACTCCACTTTCTTATTCATTATTCATGGTTTGTTCTTGTCCAACACCATCTAGCACAGATTTACCCGTAATTTTTTCCTAGTCTCCAAAGATTCATAATATATGGTTCTGTTCACTTTTGTTTTACATGTGATGATTTAGCACCCATCACTAGCAAATTTGAATAATCTTATTATTATCTATTATTTTTAATTTTTAAATGGAATTATCCGGGTGGCCCAACCTCCAACGGTGGTCTTTATTTTTCCAATGCTCTTTTAAAGATCTGTATAAAACTACATCCTTAAGCCGGGAACACACGTACCGATACAACGCTATGCGACGCTACCCGATGCTAACCGACGCCTTGCTACGTCTAGGTGGGGTGTGCACATCTGTCCGACGTCAAGCGCACTCCACGTACAGTCACACGGCGTGTATCACAAATCATTATCGCACTCGCGACGCCTATTTTGTTCTTAACGCACTATTTTGAGCAGTACCATGTAATAAATTGTTTGTTAAACTTAATTGTTTTAAATAAAGTTATTCCGGTGTTTTGATAAATTTTCTTCCTAACCATCATAATTAAATAAAAGCTTACGAGTTTTTGATTTCGTTTAATTTGGTTAATATTGAAATAGGTATGTTGTAATTAATATAACGACAAAAATACCTATACTTAGTTTGAAATAAACTACAAAAAATATGAGTGTCCTGTTCGACGCTACTCGACGAAAATGGTGTAATTTTATGAGCAAAACGATGAAATAAATTGTTAGTCAAATTTTATGAGCAAAACCGTGTAATAAATTGTTTGTTAAATTCATTATATCAAAAAATGGTATTCCGGTGTTTTGATCAATTTAATCCAAATCATTAAAATTAATTTAAAAAAAATAAAAAGTAATGAATTTTTGATCTCGGTTAATTTGGTTTATATTAAAGTAAGTATGTTGTAATTAATATATCGACAGTAATTGTTAGTTAAATTCATTATATCAAAAAATCGTATTCCGGTGTTTTGATTAATTTTCGACCAAACCATTAAAATTAATTTTTTAAATAAAAACCAATTAAGTTTTAATCACAGTTAATTTGGTTTATATTAAATTAAGTATGTTGTAATTATTATAACAACAATAATACATGTAGTTTGAATAAAAATATGAGTGCCCGGTAGTTTTGTGTTCGACTGTACTCCATGCTACCCGACGAAAGTCTGGACAGTGGGGATCGCAGAGCGTAGAGTAGGGTAGATAGCATCGCATCAGGCAGATATGCACGGAGTAATACAACTTACAACCTTATGGAAAATTGGACTTTGGATTTGCGTCGGGTAGCATCGGGTAGCGTCGCATGGCGTTGCATCGAGTAAAGCCAGAAACACACTTACCCGACGCAAATCCAAACTCCGATTTTCCATAAGGTTGCATTACCCCCGTGCACATCTACCCATGCTATGCCACGCTAACCTACCCGACGCTCTGCGATCCCCACTGTCCAGATTTATGTCGGGTCGCATCGAGTACTGTCGAAGACAAAAGAACCGGACACTCATATTTTTATTCAAACTACATGTATTATTGTTGTTATATTAATTACAACATACTTAATTTAATATAAACCAAATTAACTGTGATTAAAACTAATTGGTTTTTATTTAAAAAAATAATTTTAATGGTTTGGTCGAAAATTAATCAAAACACCGGAATACGATTTTTGATATAATGAATTTAACTAACAATTTATTGTACTCGCTTCGGCGGTACATATACTAAAATAGGAACAATTTATTACACGGTTTTGCTCATAAAATTTAATTAACAATTTATTTCATAGTTTTGCTCGTCAAATTACACCATTTTTTAATGTCGGGTAGCATTAGAACAGGACACTCATATTTTTGGTAGTTTATTTCGAACTAAGTACATGTAATTTTGTCGTTATATTAATTACAACATGTTATTTTAATGTAAACCAAATTAAACGAGATCATAAATGCATAAGTTTTTATAAACATTGTTTAATTAGATGGTTAGGAGTAATTTTATTTAAAACAATTAAGTTTACCAAACAATTTATTGGATGGTTGTGCTCATAAAATTTAACTAACAATTTATTACAAGGTTTTGCTCAAAATAGTGCATTAAGAACAAAAGATGCGTGGCGACTGTGATAGTGATTATTGTGATAAACGCTGTGGATTGTACGCGACGTGTACTTGCGTCGGATAGATGTGCACACCCCATCAAAACGTGGCAAGGCGTCGGGTAGCGTCGCATTGCGTAGCATCGGGTGTGTTCCTGGCTTAAGTGTTTCCCGTCTTTAGAATGAGATGGGCCCGCATTTGGCTACAAGGCTCTATCTATCTAAAACTAACCTAACTCTATCTAAATTTTGAACACATTATCGACTTATTTGGAAAGTTAAATGGGAATTATGCCTGTCAACAAATAAGTCAGGCAAAGTAATGTGATTTTTCACTAGCCAATCAGATAAGACCACCAATTAGAAAAATTGGTCCAGTTTTCTGATTTATATAACCCCCAGCCTATGGGAACTGTGGGTGGCAAATGGTCTGACATCCTCATTTATTTGAACAAGATCAGTAGTGGACCTAACTTTCCCGCTGCATTAGCGTTTATTAATACGGTTTTTATCTACTTTAATAGCAAAACACGATTGTCTTTTGCATTTAATATACGACTTGGGTCTCTGAATACTTCCTTCCCCCTCAAACTTTGAGATAATAATGAACTTCTGTAAACCACTTGTTTGGACTGTGTTCTGATACAGTTGCTCTGCTGATAGGTTTTGAGCAATTTCATTTGAGATACTTGGATTTCTCCTTAAAACGCCTGAAACCAAGTTAGGCCAGGGCGACTATCAACAAGATTATTTTTACTTTTCAAATCCATGCTCTTTTTTTATTCTCATGTTCACATGTTTTTTATACAAGCACCTTAAACGTTTAATCTGTAACTAGAAACGTTATTTGATAAAACAGTACTAGAATTATTTTTGAAAAACCTAGCTTCTTGTCAAAAAATCGTTCGCCTCCTGACAAGAAAACGCATTCCATACGTTATATCAAAATTTCGGAACTTTTACCATTTCAGGTAAGGTAAAAGGAAACAATATAAATATAAAACAGAATGATGATAATTTTTGGTTTTTACAGAAAAATGTATAAAAGTTAAGTTGACCTCTTCATCAATTAATTTATTTCTTTGTTTAATAACGTTATTGATTGAGTAGAAAGTGTTGTGACGAATAATGTTATTTATAATTGAACTAGCAAGTTTAAATTTCATGTATGTAATTGTTTAATGGATACTTTATACTGTTTCAAGAATGCTATAGGAAGAATAAATACCGAAATTATTAGGTAAATGTGTCTGATTGAACTGTAAATCAATTC